TTTCTACTTGCTACATTTTCAAAAAGTGAAATAAATTGGTATGTTTTACCTGATATACCCAAAATGCTGCTTTAATATGTAGTAAATATAAAAATTACTTATAAGATGTTTTACATTCTCTTTTTCTGTAATATTAATGTGTCTTTGAAATCTGAGTGATTTACACCTAGACATTTCATCTTGACTAGCCACATTTCACGTGCTTTATAGCCACCTGTGGCCTAGTGGTTGCTATCTGACACCTTTCACCAACAGCCTTGACCTGCTGCTCTGTTCCTGTGGGTGGGTTTGATCAGTACTTACCCTGTTTACACTTAGAACTTTCAGTGATCAGTGTGTACATGCAGCAGCAAAGACCATATACCTTCTAGGCTTTACCTTCCTTTCTTAACTGAGAAAGGAACAGAACTGCCATAAAATGAGTTTCAGTTTTGTGTGTACATGTGTAAAATAGGAGCTAATAGATTGTTAATAAATTTTGAGTTCAGTCTTACCAGGCAAGATTGTATTGTGTATTATTGTTTATAAATGAGACATATTAATGGATGTAATGCTTCTAAAATTAATAAATTTTATATTCTATAAATTTATATTCTATAATTTGTTTTATATTCTAGGCTAACATGTTTTTTCTGTCAAAGAAGTGGGCAGTAGTGAAAGAGCTCCATAATACTAAGGATTTTTATGGGTTTTCCTAGGTACCTGTCCCCCTTCTGGTACCTACCTGCATGGCTGAAGCTAGAGATGAGGCGGAGCACCTTTACTCTGCTGTCTGCCTGGTTAGGCCAGCATTGCCATAGCCAGCTTGATAAAGTGGATACCTTACAGTTGAGCAAAGCTTGTGGTGATTAGAGTTTAAACCTGTGTAGATTTGATGTTTCATCTCCAGGTACTCACCTGTAATTTTTTCTAAAATAATTACAATAACAGTAGAACTGTAATTTCTTCATATAGCCATTGTATTTACAATTTGTACTGCTGTTGTATGTCCATGAGCTGCAGATGAAGTGTGGCTAGGATTCACATCAGCAGAGAAGGAAGGAGAGAAGGGCTGAGGTGGAGCCTTCTACAGGAAGGGCTTGTGTGCAGGGAGTTGCAGTGCTGATGGATGGCAGCCTGCTCACAGAAGTTCAGGCAGGACTTTGAACCATATAGAGAATATTCTAGGTAAGTAAGATAGATTTGGGACACACTTGGAAGACCTAAAACCTAGCCAACTTTCAGATAGCTCTTGAAATATTCTAGATCTGGGCCGGGGATTTAGCTCAGTGGTTCTGCTGCCTGCCTTGCAAGTGCAAGGTCCCAAATTTGATCACCAGTACCAAAAAAAAAAATTCTAGATCTTTACTTGTACCTCACATCTGTCTTCTTGTCTTTCTCTAAGAGTATTTTATTAAACTAACATATTTTACTGACTTAATCAAAGTTGATTTTTATAACCAACCTAGACAATAATGGGTCTTTCGAATTCAAGCCTCCAGTAGTCGTGAATGCTTATTTCCTCAAATGAAAATCTCTTTTTGTAGCAAGCAGATATAAATTCAGTTTACTAGGAGTTAAGAGAAGTGATTAAACCTAGAAATAAGATAAATTCCCAATATGCAAGAAAAAAAATCTCTATTACTTGGTAGGTACTATCTTTCATCATACATTCCTGACAGTAGTGCATTTGAGTGTTCCTTCCTACAGTAGCCCACACAGGAGTATGCGGGGGGACAGGACAGTACTGTACTCCAAATCTTACACCAACCCATTTTGTGATTTTGAAAAGTCTTCTTGTTATAGTTTGTTGAAATACATAATTGAAATTATTTTGGTCTTCATTCATGGTAATCTCCTAAAACATACCACACGTGGGAGAAGGAGGCTTGATTTACTGTTTTAAAATATATATTTGGTATTTTCTTGTGTACATCATTGTTACTGAAAATATTATATTACTAGTATTACTGCTGCTAAACGTTTTACTTGTCAGTGATGATAGTAATAGGCTATCTTATTAAGAGGATACTTTTTATTATTTAAATTACAAGGTCAGCATCGCCTTAACCAAAAGACAGCACCTTTTGAAAACGTGGCCAAGTGCCCATTCACACCAGCAGTGCCACTGTGACCTTCATTCATTAAGTCCTGCTTTCCTGTCAGTAGATCATGTGAGAAGTGGGACAACAAATGGCTCTTGCTTTTAAAACTTAAAAAAAAAATCAGGCTCAGGGTATCAACTAAAAGGGAACAGATTTGCAGGGCTGCAGGAAAATAAATGGAGGAAGGGATTTGCAGCACCCCACTGGCTGGGAGCACAGCTCTGCTCTGGGGTTTCCACTCCATGAGGACAGTGCAGTGCTGTGTCACCACAGCACAGCACAGCACAGCTTAGGAAGAGCATGGGGCGTGGTAGCTCTGTGTGATATTGATAGAGGGCACCAGGTGATCCTAATAAGGAAAATACTGTAACTCCCAACCTGCTAGATACCTGAAACTCTGAGTTCATGTTATCTAAAATTGAAGAATGAATTCTAGGAACAGTGGAGGTTAAGAGTAGGGAAAATTTATTGAGAGAAAGATAACTTCTGTCTAAGAGAGACAGAAGGGGGACTGAAAGTGGGTTGCCTGCCCACTCTGTTTTTCAAATGTGTTTTATTGAGTAACGCCTTGAGGTGAGGGCGGTACAAGGTAAGACAAAACTATAGTCGACTAATAAGATCCAATGGAGGGCCGGGGATTTAGCTCAGTGATTCTGGTGCCTGCCGCACAAGTGCAAGGTCCCGAGTTCAATCCCTGGTACCAAAAAATAAAATAAAATAAAAATAAGATCCAATGGAAAATCATAAGGTGGGACAAAACCATGATCAACGAATAAAATTACAAGTACAGTCATCCAGGTAATATTGATTATATGGGAATCAAATGGGAAAGCAAGTCATGTACCACGCTTACATAGAATGACAAGGACTTTCTGGAAAGGAAATGGGCTAGGGAGTTTCTGGTCCTTTCTTAAGGTGATTGATGTCTATTTAAAATATCAGTCACTGCTATTCAATTCTAGGGGAAGTATGTGAGTATAATACTTTTTCTTATTTTTTATAATGCTGACCTTCAGTGAATGTGTCTCTTGATTGTCTTTCTGTTGACTCCTCCAAGGCCAGCCCTGTCTAACTGCCTACAAAATATCTAATTAACTTAGCTATCTACAGTAGTATGAATGAGATGCTCTTCAGAGCAACTGAGTTGTGGAATTAGAGTTATTCATAGATTGTGGAAAGTTATGAAATGTGTAACAATTCTATTTATCCCCATTTTGACACATTAAGGTTATAGGGGACTATGTCTTAGAAGTAGTTTTCTATTGTGTGTTTTAGGTCTTCATCCAAGAGAACTAGTATTAGCATGGGTGAACTCAGGCAAAAGACATACTTAGTACTCTTTCAAAAGTTACCATTTATTGAATGCCTAGTGCATATTTTATTTATCTGAAAAGTACAGACTTTGCCAATTATCCCAGTTATAGTTTTATGGCAGTCATGTAGTGTTGGTAGTGCTGAGTGATCTTGGTTGTACAGCTCAATGGTAGCAGTAGTGGGCACAGAAGGGACTGTAGGTGTATTTAGGAGAAGTGTACAGTGAACAGACTGGTAGGTCAGAGGATCCAGGCTGTGAGAAAGAGAAAATACTTGATTTTACCTTGTATAGAACTCTATAAGCTTAGTTTCTAGATAATGTAACATAAAACATACTAACACTGAGTTGTTTCATGCGGTCTTCAAAATGAGGCATGTAGGAGATGGTTTTATGTTCACAAAACTGGCGTGCTGCATGGCTGAGATCCCCACCTCATCTCTACCAAACAGAAATAGGGAATTAAGATTTCAGCAATGAAACTGCTGTGAACTGAAATTGCTAACTACTGGGGGGAAATATGAATAATTTCCAAGTGAATTTACATAGTTCCAAGGTAGTATAAAAATTATTTTAATGAAGTCATTTATTGAAATCATTGTCTTTATCCCTTTCTACAGTACCTATTTTTTTCTTGTGTGACCCAGTAAGTACTTCATAACTGTTAAAATGACTATGGACTTACTTTTCTTTGTTGTGACCTAAAAAATATATATACTTCGTTGAGGGATATTGAGAGTAACATCTAAGATTTCATGAGTATGACTGCTTTTTTTGATAGTTACAATAAATTATTCAGTGTTGACTTTTTTTTGTTGTAGTTATGGTGGCTAAGTAGAATATTGATGGTTCTGTAATTATATATGGCACTTAAATCTCACATTCTTTCATGATAGAGCAATTCTGGCTAGATTGGTTTTGTTGCTTTAATATTTACTTAAGAGTTAAATATATGAGTCGCAATAGAATATTTTCTTTCTAATTTTCCCCTACTACCTAAGTCCATCTTATTGTTTACCCCAAGTTCTTTCCTTGTTTTAAATTTTAAACTATAGTAAAAGAACAAGGGTATAAGGGTAAATACTAAAATGTAAAAATACTATAGAAAATTTCAGTTTTTATATATATATCATCCAAGTAGTTTTTAATTCACTTCACTTGTGGCTATTTCAACTATTCTGAAAATAACTACAGGATTTTAAATCTATTTCAGTCTTCTCATGAGTTGAGTTATGAATAAATGGCTGATTATCAGGAGTAGTTTTTTTTGTTTGTTTGTTTGATACCTGGGATCGAACTCAGGACCTTGCACTTGCAAAGCAGGCAGTGGTGCCACTGAGCTAAATCCCTGGCAGGAGTATTTTTTCCCCTAATTTTAGGACCATAAAATAGGGACCTTTCCCCTCTTTTTTAGTTTTACCAAATAGAGTGCTAACTCTATTAATATAGTATTTATCATTTCAGTTTTCATATAAAAATTCAGGACTTTGTCACAGTTATCTCTGTGCATGTGGGTTGGTATTATTTTAGCTTCCGTTTCCTGCATAGTGTCTTTTTTTCATTGTGACCTCTTAGTGTGGTGTTTTTACCTTGTTTTTGTGCAGGGTGCTGGTCAGGATAAACTGGGAATCTATGTCAAGTCTGTCGTGAAGGGAGGTGCTGCAGATGTGGTCAGTATCGCTTTTAAAGAAGTAAACTTTCAGTGTGTGGTGTTTTTAACAAGTAATGTGAGCCCCGCTGATACCCTAGCTATGCAGTACTGCACAGTGCTTATTAGAACAAGTCTGTACTTACCATCTTTTCTTCTTTCCCCAACACATGTGCACACCTCATGGGTGGGCTCAGGATGGACGATTAGCTGCTGGTGATCAGCTTCTCAGTGTGGATGGACGAAGTCTGGTTGGACTCTCTCAGGAAAGGTATGATTGATTGATTGACTTGTTTAAAGCTTAGTATTAACATGTCTAGATGATATTTTGCATTGAGGTTTGAAATTGGGAGATGAAAAATAATGCTACAAAAGCTCCTTGCCCTTATTATTCTTTACCTTTTTAGGTGTAAAACTTTCAGTGTACATAGTATTTCATTTGTTACAATATTATATTTTAATCTAGAATAGTTTCTTTTGAGCTAAAAGAATACATATACTTTTAGCACTTCTTGCAATTTTGGAATATCATCTAACTTAAATAAAACAGGGTGTGTTTGCATGTTCTGGTGGTTAATTTTCAGAGGAAGGAAATGGGCAGAAGATAATCTGTCTGAAAGTCATTTGTTGCCCAGCATAGCAGATGAGGCTGGAGACCATGATTGTAAGTTGTTCTGATCATAGGCTGCTGTAGGAGAGTGAACACTTTCATTTTTCTCACACTTCTGACATTTTCTTACTAGGGCAGCAGAACTCATGACAAGAACGAGTTCTGTGGTCACCCTTGAAGTAGCAAAGCAAGGTGCCATCTATCACGGCCTGGCCACCCTCCTCAACCAGCCATCTCCTATGATGCAGAGAGGTAAGGACCCAAGATGTGCTCACTCCCACCAGGGTGGCCAAGTCTAACTGGTCCCATACAGTGTGCTGCAAGTTGAACAGTCATGACCCCTTGCATAGTCACTAAAAACCCCGAGGAGCAGGTGCTGGTGTTAATGTTGTCTTGGTTTTAAAAGTAAAGAAATTGAGGATGAGAACACTTAAAACAAGATGCCTTAGGATACCAGGCATCTTGGAGCCAAAATTTGGATGGTGCCATCTGACTTTGGACCCGACACTGTGATTCAGCAGGTTTCCCCTCCCTGTCCCCAAGAGCCCTGTGACACCCCACCACCACCACCAGTGTGGCTGGTTGGCTGCTGGTGAGGTTACATAGGTTGGTACAGAATACGTGCTCAGGTTATAAAATCTTTAAGACATTCTCTCTACTGAAGGAATATACATGCATTTGTATGTGAGTAGTTACGGTATGTTAGTCCTGCATGTGCTGAAATAAGGCAGGACTATCTGGCTATATTTAATTCGCTTTAACTCAGTTACTGAAGTAATTTAATTCAGTTATTTAACCCAGTTATTTGTGGGAATTGTTTTTTATTCTATATAAAAAAATCAGGACAAAGTCAATGTAAATTTAGGGTTTTTTTAAGATTTCAGAAACCACAGGAGAAAAATATTATGACTCATATTCTGTTTTTTTGATGACTCACATTCTTCAGTCATCATATACCTTCTAGGTTAGTCTTAGTGATGCACTTTGTTTGTTGTGTACATAGCCGGTGAAGTATCTTGATAAATAGTTGATAGAGGCCTCTTCTCCATACAACAGAATTCTGAGGACTTCACAACTGAGAACCTAAAGTCTATAGTTGATAGTGACAAGCAGCAGCAGCGTTAAAGGCCTCTGTCAGTGTGGACCTTCTGCTTACTAACGCAGAAAAGGGATCTCAACAAAACCATGTATTGTATTAGAGGCTTTGATCCAGCATTTTTTTTTTTACTTTTTAGAAACATAAAAGTTAACACAAGCAAACTAGAATGTGAGTTAGAAAACAAAGAGGAAAGCTGTTAAAAGAGGCTGGTGCTGTATGCAGCTCGGTGGTGGAGCACTCCCCTAGCATATATGAGGATCTGGGTTCCAACTCTAGCACCTCCTCCCCAACGTGCATAATAAATCAGTCAACAAGAAGACTGAAAGTCAGAAGCTGATAATCACATCAAATAACGGCTGTGATGATGACAATCCTGAATGATGAAAATGTTAATGTAAATTAAGAAATGAGAAGTATATTAACCTTTTACTTTTTTTAGAAGTGATCTTAAAAATCATTACTGTATTACTTAAAATAGGTAAACTTCAGTTGATGAGAAAATAAACTTTGAAAGTGTATTTTTCCTGTCAATAACCAGATAAACGTTTGTTTTCTATATTCTCAAGATATTTGATAGCTTTTTAAAGATTCTGTAGCAAAAAAACTTTCCTTATATGAAAACCTATTTCATATAGTAAGAAATGTTTTTATGAAATTAAAATTTTTAGATTCATTTTCTTTTTAAACCTAATCAGGGTGCTTAAATAAATAAAATCTTCAGACCATTGAAAAGAAGAGCTATTGAATAATGCTTTGTTTTCAGTTTCAGATCGTCGTGGCTCAGGTAAACCCCGACCAAAGAGTGAAGGTTTTGAACTATATAATAATTCAGCTCAAAATGGCTCACCAGAGAGTCCTCAGCTGCCTTGGGCAGAGTATAGTGAACCAAAGAAATTGCCTGGTGATGACAGACTGATGAAGAACCGGGCCGACCACCGCTCCAGCCCCAATGTGGCAAGTAAGAGGAAGCCATTTCTCTTTTTCAGTGCATGTGTGGCCACTATGAGAAGTGAAGGGTCACATTATGCTTTGTTAGTTACTAAAAGAAAGTTTCTACCTGTGTATATTGGCTAACTAGAATAGAGTTTTCATGAGGAATATCGTAATTAACATTCTTCTAACAGAAAAAAAAGAAGTTAAAAAACCTTTGATTCAGTTGCTGCTGTAGACAAAAATATATTGTTAATGTCCTTGGCAGAGGTTGGCAAATTACCAACAGAAGTTAAAATGGTTTTACACTTATTTAAAGGGGTCAACAAAAAGAGAAATAATGGAAGGATGTGAAACCAAGACACAAGACTTGCAAAGCTTGAACAGTTTACTTTCTAGATCTTTATCAAAAGCATTGGCCAGTCCCTGGTCTTGGAAAAAGCTATAGCACTGGGTTCTGATGGCATGAGAGACAGTGATGATGTGATGGGAACCAACTTCTTGCACGCCTTGTTTTGTTTCAGTGCTAGACACCTCACTAACGATGCATAACATGTAATTACTGTCTTTAAAGACATTTTATGTTCACTAGTTTATTTAATCCGAAACTTTTTTCCCCTTGTTTACAACAGATCAGCCTCCTAGTCCTGGAGGGAAAAGCACATATACCTCTGGAACAACAGCGAAGATAACATCTGTCTCCACTGGAAATCTCTGCACTGAGGTCTGAGAGATAAGCTGAGGGGCTTTTACTACACTATTAGGTTTAGATTTCCCTTAAAATATCTGAGTTGTCTAACATAATTCTTACTCAGCAAGTTATCATTGATTATTCCTGTATTTGCAGCATTTACCATTTTGATTTTTTAATATACGAGTCAGATAAATTAGTTTTACATTAGTAAATATGGGCAAAATAAAATGTTCTTTATTATTCATAGTATAGAATCAAACACTTAATTTTAACACACTATTTAACATATATGCTGGTTTTTTTAGATTTTAAAACATACCAGAAATTAATCTACTGTATAATTGTAAATAATTTACTTTTCTTTGTTCTTCACATTTTACAGGAGCAGACCCCTCCACCCAGACCTGAAGCCTACCCCATCCCCACTCAGACATACACCAGAGAGTATTTTACCTTCCCAGCTTCCAAATCCCAGGATCGGATGGCTCCTCCCCAGAACCAGTGGCCAAATTATGAGGAGAAGCCACATATGCACACAGATAGTAATCATTCCAGTATTGCAATTCAGGTTAGACATAAGGGATTCCACAAATTTCTCTCAGCCTTCAAAACAATAGAGTAGAAAAACTTGAAATTTGAAAGATTTTAGTTACAATTGATATTTTCTGTGGAAGAGCAAGGTTGTCCTCTGTATTTTTCTTTCCTGGCTTTGTGGTTAAGTCTGAGAGAGGGAAGTAGGACAGAATGCAGGATGCAGCAGACAGAGGTGCTGTGTTTAATGTTTAATTAATGGAATGTTAGTGGTGTAAGGCCTCAGTTACAACTTTAAACGCAAGACTCACTGCTTTCAGGATTGAGAAGTAAGAACCCAGTGATACAGTGTGCAGTTTGCTTCTGTCCCTGCTAGTGAGCCTGGGGAAGTGGGACAGATACATAGGATGCAGTCAGAGCTACTGAAGAGGTAGGTCCTGTCAGGCATCAACTCACAAGGCCTTGGTTTGAGTGGATCCCAACTAGCCTTGATTCCATCACCACCGCCTGTGTGGATGAGCATTTAGGGCAGAGAGAAAAGGCATGGAGACTTGTAGTTGAGCAAGAACCCAGAGTTGGGTGAGGGAGGTAGCAGGACTGACTGAGGCCATGAAGGCAAGTGGAACCAGTGGAATGGCTCTGGAGAAGGAGATATAAGTCTAAATACTTAAGTTGGGAGCATTATCATACATGACTGAAATTAAAAATTAAATGTATGCTTAAAAACAGGTACAGCCTACAGTGATGGCAAATGTTTTGGAGCTTTCAATGATACAAACAGCATGTGTGCCATAAGTTTGCCACTTCTGGTCTACAATAAGTAATGTGTATCCCGGATAGTAAATGGTGTGGGAATTTGGAAGATAGTCGTCCTTCCATTAGAGTGCCAAAAAAGACTTTGGAGTTGAGATAGAATTTGAGCTAAGCCTCAGAGGATGAGAAAAGCAGATAGGCAGAAAGAAGAGAGAGGGTTGCACTCCTGGGGGCACAGGGTGCACTGAGGTGAGAAGAAGAGTATGTTCTGAAGATAGACAGTGGGCCTCTAGTTGGTCCATCTTGCCTTTTTGCTAGGTGAGCCTGATGATCTGCAGCATCCTGACCCTGTGAGCACTGGGTACCTTCTTCACCCCATCATGGCACCATACCTACTTTGGCAGAAAGCCAGGGAAGGTGCCAGGCAGCAGGTACAGAGTTACAGATCTTGTACCTGGACCAGGATTTCATGGTCCTTTGGATTTCATGTCCTTTAATACTTTTTTATGGTTTGTAGATCGTGTATCCAGTAATAAGGAACCTGTGTTTCTGTTTGCAAGTAAAGTTGTCGCTAAATTTTGGGAGTAAATGTTCCATTTTTCTGTTAGGCTATTGTTTTCTAAAGTGATACTTCATCTTTGTGTTGTCTGAAAAAAGTTACTTCACTCTATTTCATGCATACATTAAATCCATCAGATTTCTACCACTGTCTTTTTTACATCTTTTAAGTTAGGAACAGATAACTCTCAGATGAATAGGACTGTCCTTGGATGCATGACTCTGTCAAAGAGCCTATAAAGCCAGGCCTAAGCTTTAGGACTCATTCAGAAATGGATCCATGGATGGAGAAAATGGTTAAGATTAAATAGTTACTCTTAGTAATAAATAGAATTTCATTACAGGGAAGTACCTGTGGTTGCCCTCCATGTACTTAGACTACACACATTCATTCTTGGCAGTCAGCTCCGTGGCTGGTCTCACCTGGAGGTGGTGCAGGTGCTCTCATGCCCACCCTTGGAAACGGGAGGGGGCGGCAGTGAGGTGCCTGAGCGTCCTTGTGGTCTGTTTTTTCCAGTGCTGCAGAGAGAAAGCGTGGCTTTTCCTTCTTTTTTTTACAGATGGATTCACTATAGTCACATTTGCCAGTGAGCCATAGGGTAGTCTGAGCTTCTAGTCTGTACACATCCAACAGTTGTCTTCATCTGTTCACTCTGTGAAGACGAAATATCTGATTTTTTTGTGGGGTTTTTTTTTTTGTGAATGACTGAAGTTTTAACAGGTCTCTTTTTCTACCCAGCGTGTAACCCGTTCCCAAGAAGAGCTCCGGGAAGACAAAGCTTACCAACTTGACCGGCATCAAGTGGAGGCAGTCATGGATCGGAAGTCTGATAGTGATATGTGGATAAATCAGAGTTCCTCAGTAGAATCTAGCACCTCTAGCCAAGAGCACCTGAACCATTCCTCCAAGTCGGTCACCCCTGCTTCTACACTTACCAAAAGTGGACCTGGCCGCTGGAAAACCCCCGCTGTGGTGCCACCCACACCAGTGGCCATCTCCCAGCCTATTCGAACAGACCTGCCTCCACCACCACCTCCACCTCCTGTCCACTATGCCAATGATTTTGATGGGATTCCCATGGATTTGCCTCTCCCACCCCCACCTACCAACCAGGTGGGACCCCAGTCTGCTCAGGTGGCTGCTGCAGAACGGAAGAAGAGAGAGGAACATCAGCGGTGGTATGAGAAGGAGAAGGCCCGTCTAGAGGAGGAGCGGGAGAGGAAGCGCAGGGAGCAGGAGAGGAAGCTGGGGCAGATGCGCACTCAGTCCCTGAACCCAGCTCCCTTCTCTCCCCTGGCCTCACAGCAAGTGAAGCCCGAAAAGCCGTCTACACTCCAGAGGCCCCAGGAAACGGTTATTCGGGAGCTACAGCCCCAGCAGCAGCCTCGCACTATTGAGCGCAGAGATTTGCAGTACATCACAATTAGCAAAGAGGAGCTCTCCTCTGGTGACAGCCTATCTCCAGACCCCTGGAAGCGAGATGCCAGGGAAAAGCTGGAGAAGCAGCAGCAGATGCACATTGTAGACATGCTGAGCAAGGAGATCCATGAGCTGCAAAGCAAGGCCGACCGCACCGCAGAGGAGAACGATCGCCTGCGGAAGCTCATGCTGGAGTGGCAGTTCCAGAAGAGACTCCAGGAGTCCAAGCAAAAGGATGATGATGAGGAGGAAGAGGAGGATGATGATGTGGATACCATGCTAATCATGCAGCGTCTCGAGGCTGAGCGAAGAGCCAGGGTAAAGGGGAAAAATGACTTGGTTGTGCGTATCTGTCCTCCCTATTTTAACTTGTGTGTTTGTTATGGAGACAGCTAAACCTGTGATCTTGAGGAATGATTAAAAGGCCCCTAGGCATATTTACTATAGATACTACTGTTGGCTGATGTCCTATAGAAATGAGCCAGGGTTATGGGGCTAGAATTTTTCGAGATGCTTCCTTTGACTAGAATTAAATACAATTCAAGTGGAGCTTTATTGTTTTAATTAGCAACCTCACAAGTATCCCTCTTATTAACACTTTAGTTGAGAAAACAGGTATTTGTTAATGACCATTAATCTCCATCAGGAATTGGCAAATCTTTTCTTAAAAGGGCCAAGTGGTAAATACCTGAGGTTTAGTTATGTGTAGGCTGTGTAGACTGATGGCCACTCAGATCTGCCATAAGGACACAAAGAACTTGCAGATGCCATACAAAGAGCAACTGTGGCTGGTGCCCACAAGGCTGCACCAAAACACATGACAGGTGGCTCGTGGCCATGATCTTGATTGTGAGCAAATGAAGGCACTCAGGACATCAGATTTAAAGTGCTAATGTCATTACCAGAAATAGTAATTACATTGTTGATGAATCAGGTATTTACATAGTAAAAAATTTCAAATGAATGCTTTATCTCATTCATATTTCTCCATGTTATAAAAATAATGTTTCAAATAAGATATTGAAAGTAAAATTTAATTTAATGCAGTAAATTATTAAAATGCCAAAATTTTTTTTTGGTACCGGGAATCGAATTCAGGACCTTGCACTTGCGAGCGAGGAAGCAACACCACTGAGCTAGATCTCCGGCCCTAAAATGCCAGATTTTAGGTGAACATCAGATTCTTTGTTACCTTATCAAGAGAGTTGTTACCAGAAAGGCGTTTTTATTATTAATTTGGGCATTTGTAGAGAGCCTGTTGACCATGTTGTGTTAATGCACTGTAGTTATCACTTCTTTTCTTAATCTGTACAATGCAGTATTCCAAGAAAAGATAGCCAAGTGTATGTTCTTTTTGTCATTTGAATTTTGCTTCTAATACCATGTTTTAAAGGACTAAAACAATAGCTGTTAGGTCAGATATTTTAATCCTCCTTCCTCATGATGAAATTCAGTGTTAGGTAATTATTAGTGAGGACACAGAGCCCAATAGTGTGATCCCTTTTCATTTTGCTCTGTGAATTTTTCCTGAGAAGTTCTCTCCACACCTACTTCTTTTAAGTATTTGTGCCTGGTTTATGTTCGTGATTTTGCCCAAAATTCAGCTTGATATCCTCCTGATAAAATGATTAATTTCCTTAAGTGAGACCAAAATCTAATGTGTAATTTTAACTATTGCATTATTTTATTAGTAAGCCATTGGTAATAGATTTATTTAATAATGACCATTTACCATAAGAAGTGTTTTGTTTTGGGTTTTTTTTGGTTTTGAGGGGAGAGGTTGGGTTGTTTTTGGCTCTTTTTTTTTAAAGAGGAGCTATTTGATAAAACAGGGAGTGTTATTATAAGGATCCTTTGGACAGGTTTCATTTACTGAACGTCCAGAACTCTGTGGCACTCAGTTATATATATGGCTGTCTGGCTTTGCTGGTGCTGATGCCTTGTGCTCTGCTCTGGCCAGAGTCGCTAATGGATACAGTGATTTGGATTCATCCTACAGCAAAGTATATTCATGACCTTGTATTGTCCACACCCCAAGATAGAAGAGAAGTATGACTTTATGTTTACTATAGATCATACTATATTAACTCTGAATATTACATACTATATTACTCTGAATATCCAACTAGTGTTTATAGCAAATGAGTAAACAATATTAGCAGTTCTTACTGTTACAGCTCTATTCCAGTAATAGGAAGAAATTAGCAACTGTGTTGTACACATTTCTGTAATTATACCTTCAAGATGAAATTTTCATTGAAGGGCTATCAATTTTTCCAAACAATTAAAACACTGAAGATTTCAAAGCCTTTTAGTATGGCCTATGTTATTTGGGAAATTTAAAAAATAATTTAATTAAAAGTATTTTTTATATTTATATATTTTTTAATATTTATATTAACCTTAACATCTTGGACTAAAGATATTAATTAACCTTATCTAAACTTAGTTTTTTAGTTTCAGTGAATCTTAAGGATGAAATCCAAATATTTAATACCATGTGAACATTTTTCTATTTCTGAATACTAGAAGTTAGTCTGTAGTTCTTTAGGTTTTTCAGAGAGTTGTCCAAAAACAAAGGAAGCATTGTAGCAACAAAGATGGCAGAATACAGGTCTAAACCTAACTTTTTTTTTCACGCTTCATCTTTCTTTCTTTCTTTTTTTTTTTTCTTTCTCTATTACCTGCAGCAGACTGCTATGCCAGCAATCTCTGTTCTAGATTTGGTATGTTCTTGTTTCTTTCCCTTTGGTACTTTTTTCCTGTCTTGATTTTCTTTTCTCTTTTGGTGGTGGCTGTTTTATGTTCTCAGTAGATCAGTTCTCCTAGGATCTCCTAGATCAGGAGACTAGCCCTGTCACTATCTAGAAGCATGCCTTGAATGTTACTAGATTTAGTTACTCTTTGCTTTTCTATGTTAATTTTAAGTGTTACTGTTTGTTTATGGTTTTGACCTTTTCTCAGTTTTAGTCATAATCTAATTCTGTGTATTCTTATGTAGTCATAAGTACATGAGCAAATGAAATAACTTGGCATAAGTAATCTGTTTCATTCTATTTCACTAGAAATAGATCTTAACTATTCAATGGTTATAAACCCGGGTGAAATGGTATTGACATTGTTGCCAGTTTTAAAGCTATAATTAGATGTCATTGTCTATTGGTAAAGTAAGCTTTCCAGTGAACATGTGTTCTGTGTTTCTAATAATATTATCATGTTAGATTTTTGTGTAGTTTATTAGCCATTCCAATTTGTAGTCTACCAGAAAATACTTGAGGTCACATTCTGTTATGAGTTTAATGTGTTTATTGACAATTTGGGGGAAATTTTTGGTTGCTCACTTAGTACTCTTATGTTTAAGTTCCATATCTGTGTCGCCCACTGGACAATTGTATTCTAATATATTTAAATATTAACATTAAGTCAGTATCTATTCTGGGTCAGCTTCTTAAGAAGCCAGTATCAGACAATCTCAGAATCAAGGTTTACTTTAATGGTCTTTTGCTGGGTAATACTTCTTATTTAAATAGCATGGGGACAGTGTTATCCAAAAAGAACCCTTTCTTATAGACATCTTCACTCCTTGGTGATCAGAAGGCATATTTCCTTAACTCCACATTTCTTTGTTGTGTTTTTCATGAAGGAAAGATAAAGATGTAAGTCAAAAGATGTAAGTGGAAATCACTGATCAGTTATAATCACTTCTAGTGTAAAATACTCATTTAACAAATGCTTGCCAGCATCCGTACTGGCAGGCACTCTGACCCAAGGCACTAAAATATGAACTGACTTTTGTCCCAGAGTATTTTATTCCATGAAGGTATGTATAACAGGGGAACAATAATATTTAAGAATAGCAGTCACCTTGAGATTTTTATTTTAAAGAAAGAGCTCTGAGTTTTTCTTTCTTTCAGAGGATGAGTATTTTGCCCCGGGAGCCTCTTCTTGAAGGGTTAGTGGTAAAGTCTGTGACCCTGTGGGGAACAGTGCTGCCCTGCAACCTGAAGATGCATTCTTTGCACATCACAGGATTTAGGGCAGTGGTGGTGAAGCTACGGCACACGTGCTGCAGTGGACTGTTTGTATCATTGAAAACTAAAAGGTTCACCATCACTGACTTAGGGTGACTCATAGGGTCAGTGAAGCAAGTCACGTTCCCATTGGGAGTAGCCAAGATCCATAAGATTGGGGGGCTGCCTAGGGTGATTTCTGCTCTTCCCTCTGCATGGCCTGCTGCCCCAGTCAGTCCAGGGCCTCCTCTCTCTTTTCCTGCTTATCCCAAACTTGTGACTTCAGAATTAGAGTGGTGCTAAAGAGACCCATTCACATCTGTAGTCTAACCCTTTGCACCCTAAATATTCAGAAGACCCACTGGCCTTTGTACCATCTTCTTGTGGGGTCAGATGCAACTTTTCAAATTCACCCTATGCAGAACCGAGTCCCTTCTCTTCCCCATGCCCTCAGACTGCAGTGCTCTGCCCCCACCTTCCCATGCCAGTGTACACTTCTGTTACTTCATCAAAAAACCTGACAGTCTTCCACAACACCTTTTCTCTCTGTTCAGAAACCACTGCCTTCTCTTTCTTAGAACCTGATACCTCTGTACTCCCCTTAGCCTACTGCTGTCCTTTCCTGCCTGGTCACTGCAGGAGAGTGTGGCTAGATCCCTCAGTTCTGACCCTGGTTTGTTACAGGCATTCTTGACATAGCAGCTATGGTAATCTCAGGAGGAAGCTCCTTATAGTCCTCCTGAGTGAGACTTCTGCTAGGCAGACAATCCAAGTTTTCCCAGGGCCTACAGGTACCATTGGCATACATGGGCCTTGTCTGTGCTATTCTCTAGCCTGCCCATTCCTCTGTGGTATCCCTCAGCATGCCAGGCCAGTTCCTACCCAAGGATCCTTGCCCTTCCCTGGAATTGCCATCATTTCCTCCCTCATGCCACTCAGTCTTGCTCGGATGCCACCATCTGAGTGAGGGGCATCCTTTATGGTATAACTTATGTCCCTCCCCGCTCAGCTCCTGATTGTCCATCTCACACTTTGCTTGTTTGCTGAGCATTTACTTACATCTGCTGTACATGACTTACAATGATGTGTGTTTGTCTCTTCTGGGTAGCATATACCTCCATGGGAGCAGTGACCTTCATCTGTGTTTCTGGAGCAGTTCTGGTATCTTGGCAGTCAGTAATACTGAGGGAGTGAAATGTGGTTCTGGGACTAGATCCCAAAGCTCTTGAAAATGTGTAGACCTCTTGTTTGTTCGAGAATAAAACTGTCATTAGATTCTTCTGCTTTTAATTGCTAAGATGGTACATGAACCCATTCAAATCCAAGTATGCCTTGCTGGGGGAAGCACCCACAGGGCTATGTTACAGCACAACAGTCTGGCCTTTAATTATACTTTCTCTTATATCTCATGAGCAGATCCAGGAGATAGCTGTCGTATGTGTGGACCCATGTGTCCTATGGTCATGATCCTCTGTCTTGTCCTTATAGCCTGTCTCTTAACTTTTTCCCCCCATGCAGGGAATCAAACCCAGGGCCAGACACATGCTGGGCAAGTGTTCTACTAATGAGCTACACATGGAGCCCTTGTCTCTAGCTTTTTTTTTTTTCTTTGGTACCAGGGATCAAACTCAGGACCTTTCACTTGCAAGGCAGGCATGGTGCCACTGAGCTAAATCACCCAGCCTCCGTCTCTAGCTTTTATAGCCCTTTCAGTTAAGCCCTGGGGCACATGGATGTTGACCCAAACTAAATTTTTTCTTGGCTTGAGGTTTCAAGGGCAGCTCTCCTGTCTTTCCACCTAATGACAAGATGTCATTCTAGGTTGACACTCTGGGTCACTTTATTACTCTAGGTTGCCAAATAATTGTTTATATTACTCTCATTTCTCCATAACAAAACTTGTCATATACAGGCCAAACCCAATGCATGAATCACTCTTTACCACAAAGATTGGACCGAGTATAAGTCAGTTTTCCAACCAGCTACCTTCATCATGTACTTTTGCTGCTACACAAAAGAACCTCCTTTTCATAAAGTAGTATTGCTGGAAGCCATCTGTCAAATAGATATTCACGGGGCCTGGCCATCTCAGTGGCTCTCTCAGCTTTGCTTTGTTCCACATTTCAGTGGGTCATCTGCTGACCAGGATAACACAAAAATTCAAAAAGATGTTCTTCCATCTTAGGGTGATGCCAGTAATAAGATGTTTTCAGATTGCAGTCTTCATTCTCCTTATTTGAAAACTCAAACTGGGGCTCCCCTCACACGCCATGCTTTTGCCTAGATTTTGGGTGGGGTGTTAGGCATCAGGCACAACCCTCTGAGTGTTCCAGATAGAGAAAGGAGGGTTTGGATCAAAAGCTGTTTCAAGCAAGGATTGAAAGGAAGCCTAATTGGAGAACTAACCTCCAGAGAACACTGGTAGGAAGTGCACTCTGTGGCCTTTTGGTGCCAAAGCACCTCTGATACGAGATGAATCTGCCCCAGATGGACACATCTCTCCTCAGAGGGCAGTATCACTGAAGGAGTGTAATTGTGGAGTAGAGTACGAAATTATCCCACTGGTGCAGGATGAGAGTTGCCCTAAAGGAGCTTTGGGTGTATCCTGGACTTCCTCAAGCCTTCTACCCTATCTGAGGCTTACTCTGTTTCATCTGCCACTGGGCTATTTCAGCAGCTAAGATCAGCATCTTACAAGTTCTGAGAAAACTCATTTTCCTTAAGTTAAAAAAAAAAAAAAAGAAGAAGAAGGTGGGCTATGCTATGCTAAGGGAAAGAAATACTAGGTGCTGCTTGTTTGTGCTCCCCATGTCACTCAGTACACCTTTGTCTGTGAGAGAAGATGCTTTCTAATGAGGAAATCTAACCCTAAATGTGGGTACCTTTCTGTTGGATAAATAGCTGGTCCCTTGCAGGCTGGGCTCTTAAGCCCAGGTCTTAGGGTACCAAAGGCCTATAGTGATAAATGATGTAGTGCATCTTTCATGGGAAGGAGCATGAGCAAAAACATCTATAGAGGAAAAGGATTTTAAAGAGATTTAATAGACTGAGTTATGTGTTCAATGAAAATGTCAAAAAGTAAAAGATAATCCTGACCCTGACCCCATTTTGTATTTAGCTATCTGAACAGTTACCTACCTTACTGAGATTTCTATCTTTCTGAGATATAAGTTAATGTGTTTTGTGGTATGAAATTATACACAGTTCTCAAGCTGTACCTTTTAAAATCTAGAAATAGCTTTTTTTAGAAAGGAGGACTGCCAGTTAGCAGAACCTTGGTCTAAGCTTACCTGCTGTTTTTGAAATCTAGCTTTAGTCCAGACCATCTTAATTTGTATATCTTTGATCCTTTTAGCGTAAAGCAAAGATCTCTCCTTCTGGCTAAGGTTCAGAGTGTCACTGTTACAGGCAGTTTGTCACTATTGCAGCGTGATTAGATTTGTAATTTCTATTAAGATTCCCTTTACCTGTTCCTGAACATAAGTCAGTCGTACAGCTTAGTACCCTTAGCCTTATAGTACCATTTTGGTTTTTGTTGTTTTGTTTTTTATTTTTTTGGTACCTGGGATCAAACTCGCGTCTTTGCGCTTGTGCAGCAGGCAGCAAAACCACTAAACTAAATCCCTGGCCCTATAGTACCATTTTGATTTAGGAGATTTTCTTTTTTTCTCATTAACACTTGGAATGAAACAGTTATTTTTAAAGAACAAAACTGTTTAAAATAAAAATCTGTAAAATAGCCAGATAGTGGAAGGAAATGTTAATTTGGCTTACTTAAAATAGTAATTAATGGGGCCAGGGATTTAGCTCAGTGGCACCATCCCTGCCTTGAGAGCACAAGTCCTGAGTTCGATCCCTGGTACCAAAAAAAACTAGCAATTAATGAACTGAACACAAGAAATCTCTTTTGTTTACTATACATCATGCAAATTCAGAAGAACAAAGCTTTTTTCTTTAAGAGAAAACACCTATTTATAGGTTTGTAAGAGAGCATTTATACTCAGGAGAATTGTAATTATTCTGATTTCCTAGAGCTATACACCTATTTAAGAAATGAATCAGCTGTATCAGTGTGCACTATTTTCTTGCTCAGAACTTGCTTTTCCTTAGATCTAGAAATTACACATAAATCAGTTTGTACTTCATTTGAAGAGGGAGAGTTCCTGTTGCCTTAGTGTGGTTTTAACATTATTCCTTACTTTGCTTTTCTATAGAATCTTTTACTTTCTTTGTGCTGCTTTATGCTGTGATTGTTGCATAAGCGCTGTTTCTCATCCTTTGTACTAGTGACCTTACAACTTGCTGAGGGGGTGAGCCCCCTCCACACAGGCACTTGGCCCTCTCTGTAGGTACTGTAGGCTCTTTTTCTTTGCATCTTGACCGGTGGTTTTTAGCAGCTATTCCTGCTCCAAAACCCACCCACTAAAAACCAGTTATCCTAATAACACCCCTCCTGGACTTATACCTAGATTACATTAAAGAAAAAGTTAATTTGTCTTTTTGAAAAAGCAGCTTTAATTTTTTATTACATGTTTCATTATTGTTTACTGATGTGAAAAATCCTAATCAGTTTAGAATAGCACAAGTTAATTTATTCTTTCCCACTAGAGAGTGTTTTGTTCCACAACAATCAAGGAAGAGAGTTGTTTCAAAAAAAAAAGCCCACACGATTCAAATCCAGAAGTTGGTTTTACCAAAATTGAAATGCATCTCATAGCAGTTTTATGCAAGGGATTTCTAAAGTGCTGTTAGAGAGTAAACTAACCAGAGAGTGGCTTTGATTTCCATTTTAATTTTAGAGATTCCAAGTCATTTCCTCTGGATGGTGTCATAGTGTAGCTGTGGACATTCTGTAGTCCAGGTAGATACCTGATAAGAAATATTTAAGGATGCAGAGATATCAGAGTTACTGCTGCTTCAGGCTACAACACAGAAATAAAAAGGGAGAGAGTCTTAACTTTCGTCCTGTTTGATAATCCAGGACTCTTTTTTAGAGAAGGTATTTTTAACCTGTAATGCCTAAAGAAATGTGACCAGGAAGATAAAGGAGTTAAAAAACAAGAAGAAGGTTCATCTGTTACATCTGAATATTTGAAGATATCCTAAAGTATTTGGATAGTATGAAGGAAAGGTATATTTTGTGTTGTTTCAAAAAGGCAGAATTTGACCAGACATAGAAAAACAATCAAATGAATTTTGAACCAGCATAACTTTTTAAGTAGTCATCACCTAAAGCAGAGTGTACTCTAAGGATGGAGAGGGTATTGAAGTAGTTGCCATGTGCTTGAAGTAGCAGACAGAATGAGCCAGAATGACTTGCTTCCAAACCTCAGGTTCAGATTCTATGACTTGAGTTTAGGGCTGTCCCAGAGGTGGAAAGGAATTCTTGAAGTCCATGATGAGATCTGGAGGAAATTAATGGCAAAAGATCAAAGGAAGATGAGCCCTAAACCCTCATTCTCCAGGAAAAAATGGGGCGCTCAGAGTGACTCTCAGCAGAAATTGGGTCCTACCCATATCCCACAAGAGGGAGGACCTTCCTGATCTCCATGGTGGCTGAAGCCTTCCATAGTGATAAAGTGAGGGCTATCTGCTGTGCAAGTCTGGATTTATAGGAGCTGGCTAACATTTATTCTAATGAAAGAATCGTGATAATGCGTGAGATTATGTGACACCTTGCTTCTTTGATTAATGGAAGATAAACCTGGGACTGTGGAGATGAGCTTTTAGGTGATTTTGAAGTTATAGAACTATAAAATATGTAATTTTAGCATTTTCTAACAGTGACTTAACCTGGCATTTTCTATTTAACTTTTCTCTGTGTGTATTGTGTGTGTGTGTGTGTGTGTGTGTGTGTCTTTGTCTAGTTGTCTCTGTAGATGCTTTTGATGTCTCATGCTGGTGGGCTTGCTGAGTGAAAGTTAAAGTCCACTTATTGTTAGTTGCAGGATGAGGAACGCAGGCGCCAGCAGCAGTTGGAAGAAATGCGAAAGCGGGAAGCGGAAGATCGAGCAAGACAAGAGGATGAGCGTCGGCGTCAGGAGGACGAGAGAGTGAAGCGAGATGCTGAAGAAAAGGTTATGGTCCTCTAAGGGCAACTAGAATTTTACCAAATTAGCCTGAACATAATTGATTGGCTGGGGCAAAGGGGGCTAGAAATTGTGTGTATCTAAGATGGCACAAGACAGAACAGGGCCGGAACCCCAGCTTTTGTTATTGGACCAAAAACTCTAGCCCCGTCTGGCCCGCCTACCTCTCTTCTGGACTGTCTCCAGACTCCCTTGCCTTCTGAGCTGGCCTCCCTCAAACTCCTGAACTCCTAGGTCTGCATAGCATGAGCCTCCATACAAAAGGTCCATTTGCGTGGGACTCTGATCCTTACTGGACAGGGTCCAGATCATTTTTTGTGAAGGTAACACTTGTTCAGTCATTACTTGGATTGAGTATGAACTGTGGGAGGTAATAGGAACATAGTAAGACAGTCTGTTAACTTTATAATGTTTCAAGTAGGTGATTCACTAAAAATTACTCAATTCTGATCAGTGGTAAAGAGTACAGGTGGCTTATAAAAACAATATACAAGGACTGATAAATATTCTCAGTTATTTATTTCCATGTATATTTCATTTAATTCAAGGATTCTTCAGTTGAATTTTAAAATGCCAGCTGATTTTGACATTCTGAGAGTTAGAAACCCTCTGAGTCCGTGTGTTCTAGCTGAGGCTTCTCCCTGGATAGGAAGCTGTGCTGTGAGCCTGGGCAGGCTCCACCTGTCCCCAGAGGGTGCTTGTGATTCGGCGTGAGAGAAGCTGTTCTTGGTTACTTCCCTTCTATGAAGGTAGAAGCTTTGACTGTCAAAATGTCTGACAGGGAAAAGTTTAGTTGTTATTACTAATTCTTTCATTTATAGTCCAGTGAACTATGTTAATAGAACCCGGTCTCCAAAAAACAAAAACCCAAACCTTAGGAAACTTTGTAGTGATAAATTGATTAGGCTTCAGAACAATCTCAGAGTAAGGTTGGTAGATGTGATATGGCTCCTTACGGGAAAGCAGAATGGATACTTTGCAGACCCACACCAGCACCAGAAGCTGATTTGGGTGTGCTGTGCACCTTAGTCCTCCTGCAAGTGTGTCCTGCTGCTCCTGCTATAGCTGAGCAGTTTTAAGAAGGGCACCCGATGAATTTATGTTTTCAGGGTAGCTTACCGTGAGTCTTTTACTTGTGTAATGAAAGAAAGAAGTGATGATCTTTCCAGGAAATCAGTTTCCAGGATTTCAGCCACTTGGTTTTAAAGTTTATGGTGGTATTGGTGCTGGTGTTTTGCTGTTCCCTGAAAGCCCTCTGGCTGTGGAAGGGATGCCTTCTCCAGGTCAGTGCGTGCCTGGCTGCCCCCATCCTGCCTGGTGCTCATGGCTATAGTTAGGGCCACTCTTGGTCTTGCTCGAGCCTTGGTGGGACAGTTGGGGCATCATCTCAGAGCCATGCATGTGCAAAGAAAGAGTAGGCTGCCTTTTCTGTGTGAGAAACTTGGGTTAATTTTCCAACATGAATTCTTAGAACTCATGATTATGTCGAATACACTTGTGTTTTAATAACTGCTTCTATAATTAAATGATCACTGTAAAAAGAAGCTGAAAATCTATTTTTAATACAAAATGTCCAAAATTCATGGATTTGCATTGCTACAGAAAAATTTGTGTTCATTTTCTGGGTAGAGTAAAGTCTCCTTGGTCATGTAATTGTATCTGCTTTTGGCTTAGTGGAGAGGGCTTTGGTCTCCCTACAGTGTTATCAAGCAACTGTTCCTCATGTAATTGCAAAACTCTTGACTATGCCATTTAAAGCCACAGAAATCATTCTAGTTTGATTGCTTAAATCAAGAGAATATTTTGTGCAAAGAAGATAAAAAAAAAAATGTCTTTCCTTCAGGATTTCCCAACATAGAGCAAGAAGATAAAGCAAGAAATTGGGTCTGGGGTAAAGATCGGGCTGGCGCTTACTCTTCTCATTTTCTCTCTCAGAAGGTGAAGAGGGACCATTGTGCATTCACTGTGTGCATGTGTATGGTTGTAGAGGGCATAGGAAAAGAATGAAGCATATAAGTTTAAAATAGGGCCTGAAAACTGATCTTAGTGCCAGCAAGGTCCTAACATTCGTTCCCTTTGGTTGGATGAATTGAAAATTCACCGTGCCTCATTTCACAGCGTTAAACAGTTTACTCAAGGCAGTTTATTCTGTGTGATCTTTCATCCCCTTTCATATTTGCTTTTTCTTGTGCTCTGAAACTCTTGTCAATCTTTAACAAAACTGTGCTGTTACCTTTTTTAATGTTAAAAGAATTTTAACACTGTCAACTGTAGTTCGTGCAGATGTATGTCAGAAAAAAATGTACAGTATGTGTCAAAATATATTTGAATATAGTATCTTGTTGCTGTTGCTATTAATGCTTGGCTCTCTAATTTTCTGTTCATCAGGGAGTTTATTAAGATTTGAAATATAAATTAATGATTATGGAAAGCACATTGTTAGATTGTCCCTTTGGAAAAATGAGTGATGTTACATACAATATATGGTTTCCTATTAAAACACGGCAGTAACAGGTAAGTTAATATAGTACCAAAACAGAAGAGGAGAGAAAGAAGAGGAAGACAGAAAAGAGTTCAGAGGATTCTTAATGCAAATCTAGTTTCATAATTCAAAGGGGATTTAAGAACTGATTTCTTCCATACTTCTGAGCAGTTTCATATCAAACAACCCCGAATAGTATGAAGTACTTAAAACTCTCAGGAAAAGAATATTTCTGAGTTCACTTACCTCTTCTGTTGCAGTTAATTTGGACAGTTAAATGTGGCATACTGTGGACCTGTTGTTGTGTGATGATGGGAACTGATGATCAGTGCACTTGTCATTCCCTGTAAAGGCCCAGTGGGCCCACCTATCCCCTTCTAACCCCTGACCTTTGCACTTTTGTCTATTCCTGTCTGCAGAGGCGACAGGAAGAAGAGTATTACAGCCGCCTGGAAGCTGAGAGGCGCAGACAACATGACGAGGCTGCACGCAGGTTGCTGGAACCTGAGGAGCCTGGGCTATGCCGACCTCCACTTCCTCGGGACTACGAGCCCCCAAACCCATGCCCTGTGTCCAGCGCCCCTCCTCCCCCACCTCAGCGAAACGCCTCCTACCTCAAAACTCAGGTCCTCTCCCCAGACTCGCTGTTCACGGCCAAGTTTGTTGCATACAGTGAGGAGGAGGAGGAGGAGGACTGCAGCCTAGCAGGTCAGGATAAGTACGCTAGCACAAGAAAGTCTCAAGGGGACCTTCTTCCTGCCACCCTTAAGCCACAGCAGCCCCCCTACCAGCCACGCCCGGCCTCCGATGGCATCTTTCTCTCCAACTCATTCCAGCCACCCACCACCAAAGCCAACAGTACAGCTCACAAAACGGGCCAGCCCCTGCCCCCTCCCAAAAAACCAAGCTTCTACCGTCCTGGCCACTATAAAGGTAGAGGTAAAAGATAGAATTCAAATCAAATCCTATCTTGTCTTGATGATTGGAACTTTGGAATCTGTGCCCTTGCCACTGTTATGGTCCAAAGAGATCCTACCTGCTTTGAAGTTTAGATCTCACTTGATCACTTTCAGCATGGTGATCTTCCTCTACCTCCAATTGTGATGTCTGTGCTAATGCTCTATTGATAAAATGTGCTTTGATTTCTTTGATACTTTAAGAAGTTCCATTTTGTTGATTAGCTGACAATAATCAGCTCTTCTCCATTATTCCTCGAATCACTGGAAGTACTGTTGGTCTTGGCTTTCATTTTCTACCTTTTCAAATAATTCTTACTTTTGGTTAAGTGCCTTTTCATACATTTTAATGTCTCTAAATACACAGTGTTAAAGCTGCATTTTATGTTTCCATTAATGTGAGTAGAACTTTGGGTTCTGCATCAGGTGGGCTTTGCGGTGATTGGTGACCTTTTATGGTGCCATGGTAGGGCAGTTAAGTGTCTGCTGAATTGGCTAACAGCACATCTTGGCTTCAGAGACAGAGACCGTTGTGATTCTGAAGCACCTCCACTCCCTCTCCCTTCTCCCCTCTAACTGGTTTCATTGCTTCCTGTTATCTCACACTGAGTGCCACATATCTCTGCAGCCACATCTTAGAGGGCTGCTGCACTGTCAAGCAAATCCCTCTCCACAGACTCCCCAGTGCTAAGAGCCCTCCTACCTGTTCCCAGAATAGAGATGCTGCCACATAAATTCATCATGCAGGCTTTGGACAGCACTGAATGTAGTGCTCTGAGGATACAGCTAATTTATGTCCAGATCCATATTTCTCCTTAACCTTGCTATAATGAAGTTGGAAATCTGGCACCAAGCATCCCCATATACAGTAGTATTTAAATGAGTATAAGCATCTTCTAAATTCTGTGTGATATTGATTCCATCCAGAAAACATGTAGGCGCTCTGAGGTTCAGAACAGCCTCTTATAGGAAAATGAGATTTCCAAGATTCTGTCCTTTTCTCATCTGAATCACATCTTTAATATACCTTGAAAACTATATACAATGTTTAGGTTGAATCATTCTTGAAGCCAAACTATTACAACTATCTAGAATTTGGTTCATTTTAAAGATATTATGAAATAACAGTTTTGAAATAAGATGCTATCCATCTTGTATCAGATTTCACAAGCTGAATTATATATATGTGTCACAGTCATACCACTAATCAATCCTTCCTTACTTTCACACCTAAAGTACCACTTAGGAGCAGGTTATATCCTATGTCTTCTGCCCAGCCTCTTTGAAGATCTCCTAAAAGTCTATGGCACATGCACAGTGCATTTCACCTTGTTCTCTCATCTCACCCCTCTGCCGCACCTCTGTTCCAGCCCTTTCTGGCAGCTGCTACAGATGGTACTTGGTCTCTTCCACTGGCTGTGAGGAACAGAACTCAGATATCCCTCTGAATGAATACAGTTTTCAGCATAGCAACATAATATCACTAAAGTTATTTGGAAATTATTTGTAATTGGAAGTATTCATATATGGTCAACTGAGAGTATTTGATGTTCTAACAGTAAAAGTTCTGAAAATTTTGAAAAATTGATATTTACAGTGGAAGAAACAAGTATCATTCTCAACAAAGCTCAAAAGATACAACACAGTGTTTTTAAAAAACAGACAAAATGAAGAAAAGGTTTGGAATTCAAATGGGAAAGAACCTACCATGCGAAGAACTCCATAGAGGCTCCACGTGGATTGCCTTAACAGTGTTTCTGCTGTATCTTTTGAGTCTTTGCTGAAGGTGGCGCCCCCTGTGGCAACCTGGATTCCTGTGCTCTGCAAAGGCGGTGTGCTGTGTCTGCACAAGTCCCAGGAGTTCTGCGGGACAGGCTTTTTCATTTGGAAGAAAATCCATTTTCTTGGAAATTCATTTTCATACAACTTGTCTAAAAAAGATAGTTTTTAGTGTGAAAAGATAATGATTTTGTGGCCTATTTAATCCAATATTAAATGCTGTTAGTATTTGCTGATTTGGGGGCATCTAGTACTCCAGCCTATATTACAAGCACAAGGTTTTTCAAGTATGAATTTACTTTTTTTAAAATGTTACAATAATAGCAATACATGAATTCTGACAATGTCTTAAACTTGTAATAATTAATGACAGTACAGTATTATTGAGTACTTGGATACATTGAAACTTTTTATCTGCATCATCTCTTTTGATCTTCGACAACCACCATTTCTGGGGCAAATGTTGCCAGGCTCTTCCTCGCTCCTTGCTGCTAAGAAAGCCTTGTTCTCATTTGTCAACTATTGTATGTCTGCAGCACTAGTGTGGAATCTGGGGGCGGGGTGGGGGGGTGGTTTGGTTTGGTTTTTGCTAACTCACTTGTTTAAAAGGATTTATTTTTATTGTTAATAATTATAGCCATTTATCTTGAAAAAGAAATTTAGTTATCCTGAAAAGAGTAACTTTATTCATGTGCTTATTCCATAATCTTTGAGGCTTCATTTGCTCTTGAGTGATTTTCTAAGAAAATTCTTAGTGTCAGAAAAATTTGCTCACCCCATTTCAGTAAGTCTTCTATGGGTTTGCCTAATTTATCTGACTTTGACTGTCTCATATATGTCCATTACCATTGCCACTTTAATAAAGGGCAAATGCTCAGTGACTCAGCACCTGTGGAATTTAGTAAGTTACTCTGGCCACTAAGAGATGTGAATTTTCAAATTGGTGGATCTTTCATCTCATCTGAAGTGCCTTTCGCTTTCTTGTTCACTCAGTAATTGAAGGTGTCTTGTTTCCTTTGACCCTACATCTTTATCAGTGAGCACAGGTAATCAAGTACTTTAACTTGTACTTTTTCTCTTTTGGAAAAGGACCACACTCTTACTCCGGGTCTGCTGGGACAGTTACTGGCACCCATGATGCTGCTCGGGATCTGAGAGAGAAGCATGCTAGAAGGTACTTAGGGTTGTGCTGGGCCCTGTGATTGATGCCTATTCTCACTCCTGAGGCATTTTTTTTTAATTTTTGTTTTTTTTGTTACCGGGGATCGAACTCAGGTCCTTATGCTTGTGCAACAGGCAGCGAAACCACTGAGCTAAATCCCCGGCCCCCCTGAGGCATTTTTAAATCATGTGAAGCTGGTTGAAATTTCAAAGACTTCATTCTCAGCTCAGATGTTTCCCATTATACAAAGTCATGTGAGCATATAGGCTTTTAAAAGTCTGTTTTGCTAATATAGTTCTGTCTTAGACAGTGATAAAGGTACTAGACTTACTGGCCAGGACATCAGTAGTAGTAGCCACCATATTGCTGTTTATTTCCAACAGAGAAGATTGAAAATTCAAGGGCAGGGCCAAGGGTCCTTGGTCAACCAGTGGCAATATAAGGCCAACCTTGATGGTACACAAAAAATAAAGAGAAATGGTATTGTACCAACTGTTAAAACAGAAGTTGAACTAAGCAGTACCATTCTATAACTAATAGGTATATTTATAGATGCTTCTCACATACTTAAAAGATGCATAAAAATGTCATATTTTTAAAATGTACCTCTTCCTTTAAACTTGTTTAACTGGTAAGAAATACTTAGTTACTGAAATTTGACTTGTTAGTTTTTTGAAAATTGGATATGATTGAGAAAAGTTAACATTTTAGTACGGAGAACATTTTGCCTATTTTTACAGTTCCAGTAAATTTAATTATAGGAAAGATGCTAGCAACATTTAACAAAGAATAATCTTTCTCACTGAAAATTTTAATTACTTGCCCATCATGCAAACCTGCCTACTTTGGGGAAGTTTATTCTATTTTGATGAGTGATTTTTTGCATTTCCCTCTTGCCCAGCCAAGATGGAGACATGCCTGGAAATTCTGGAGCCCCTGAAAACCTGACATTCAAAGAGCGCCAGCGCCTCTTTTCACAAGGTCAAGATGTTTCCGATAAAGTGAAAGCTTCTCGTAAATTAACAGAACTGGAGAATGAACTAAACACAAAGTGAGGACAGTCCAAGGCCACTTCGTGTTTGCCCAGGTTCCCTCAGCAGTGGGTGTGCAGGTGTTAGCCTGAAGAGGAGAAGGGAGGTTATATTTCTAAGTGATTTCTAATTCCTGTTTCTAAAATTATTGCCATTTAGAGATGTTATGGTTCCAAGAATTTTTATTTTACTTTACCAAGAAATTGGCATTTGTATAATAAGAAATCTGATTGTTAATGACCTGACTCTTTTGAGGATATCATTTTTTTAGTTTCTTTTTGGAATCTTAGGCACAGAGGGGCAGAATGGAGGGCAGTAGAGCTAATAGTGTCCCTCCCCTGTTTCCTCCTGTAATCCTGACAAAGGACTACAGACTGAGTAGTTCTGTTTCTATTCTTTCTCAAAAGCTTCACTTTGGCTACCAGACAAAGTAGTTGAACCACCTGGACCACTGTGCTCACTTGTAGCCACAGCCCTATTTTCAGGAGAGAGAGCGTGGAAGCTGCTCTTGGACCATGAGGGTTTCTGCTCCAGGGTGCTGGCCATGGTGGTCCACAGCCCATCTCTCCCCTGACAGTGAGCCCCCTGATCAGCTCTAAATGTGTGATTACATTAAATACTCAATTTTATAAGTTCTCAAAGAAGAAAATCTAGAGAATTTAATCTTAGGGGATTTTATTTTTTATATATACTGGGTTATTGTTAGTCTAATAAATCATTGGTAAAATTGAAGATGACATTCATGTTAGAAAGTTTACTAATATTTCAGATACTCCAAGGGATCAATAAGGAGATCTCTTTAGCTGAACAGTGTTCATGTGACCAGCATCAGAAATATCAGAGAAGAATGGGAGATTCATAGGTGACATTCAAGCACAACTGTCACTCAGAAATTTTAAATTTACAAAAGCAATTTGCATCAATATTCCCTCAGGAGAGAAAGGAATTCGATTATTATGCCATCTGTAACTTAAATATTGCAAGAATAACTCATGACAGTGTAAGCTATTTTTTTACAATATACTAGTTATTTAATTTTAATTTTAATTTGTGAATTATGAGTTACCACTGTCATTTCTGTGGGTATGTGGCTGATGTTGGGGAGAAAAACCTCAGTTTGCTTATATTGTATGATGTTAAAATGGTAAATTACTTTGTGATTTCAAGCCCATCTCCTGTTTGACAAAGCCTTGATAGCATCCAGATGATCTTTCTGTACCTTTTGTTCTCTTACAAATGTGTATATCAGGAAAATCCGCACACTTTCAAATGAAGAATAGAGACATTCGCTGCCCTAGAAACCACTTTTAATATGAGTTGTATGATAAATCATTGCACATGCAAGTGTAAATATTTTTTATGTCTGTCATGGTTCTTATTTGAAAGTGTGCTTTTACTCTTTCCTCTGTAAGAGTCAAATGGTCCTGAGAGTTGATGAAGGATTTGCACACTTGCCCCAGGAAAAGCAAGTTCCTCCTGGTTTTTCAAGAGCACTGGTGGCCTTAGGGTGGCGAGTTTACACTTTCCCTAGAGAAGAAGACACAGATGATCATTGTGTTCAGATGTGGAAAGGCAGACCACATACATACATGGAGATTCTCTGATTATAAAACCTATGAGGAAGTGAATTTGGCTATCCCTGGACAATGAGGTCAAATGTGAATATGTGTAAAAGTGCTTTTTATAATGTGCATTAATTACTATGGGAAAAACTTCCAAACTGCTGTAGTTTTCCATTTCTACTGTATTTTGGTTGCAACCTATTTTTAATAAACTTTGTATGTATTTAAGTGTATTTGCTATTGTTTTAAAAGTGCTGACAAAGTTTATATTTGTAATATCAGCCTTCCTCTCCCTTGTTTCCATCTGTCCACCCATTCATTAAACAATGCTGAGTATCACTCCATGTTGGGCAGTGTTTTCCATTTGTGGGGACATATTGTTTGCTTGACGACAGCTAACTGAAGGTCAGGAGTGATTTTTACGCTGGTGCCATACAAGAGCTCAGCTATCTAGACCTTTGGGATTTCTTCTTTGCACCTTAGTATCCAGGTGGCCACTGGGAATATTTTTCAGTTACACTGCCTGTCATGGCTACTTTGAAATTCCTAAATGTACATAGTAATAAATAAATGGTATTAATTAGGTATCCTGGTGAAGTGTATTTTCAGCAGTACCCAATCAGGATACCTGGTGTGATGGGATGTGTTTGATTGTAAAAGTACAAATGCAGTGTTGAGGAAACAGGAGCTCCTGTTGACCACGAGCAAGCACCAGGGCCAGGCCTGTAGAGATGGACCAGAAGGGACAGCCCCACCCTCCGGTCAGTGCAACATCTGAGGGGTGCTTCACCTGAGCTCTGCCTGTCTCTAGTTAACTTTTCTTCATAGCATGTGAGCATCCTAGGAGTACCAGGATGGGACAATGTTGTGGGACTTAGAGGACTTTTCTAGGGCAGAGAGGAATGAGGAGTTGGTCAAAGGATACAGTTTCAGATAGGAATAAATTTTGAGGTCTGTTGTACAACAAGGTGACGATAGTCAATAAGTACTGTAAAGTAAATGAAGGAATTTTCATGAAGGAAATAGTATCTGAGAGCTGGAGGAACTTATGGAGTTTTTTCTGGTAAAAGTAGATGTTTATTGGAATTAAGGTATTTACATTTACTATATTTTAGTGTGTAAAAATGTACTTAAGAGTTTGAGGAGGGAAAAATTTAAAGAGAGAATTCATACTGATGCAGCTCCATCTCGCAGCCTATGTTTCTGTGGCTGTTACAGAAATAATGATTCTGACCTAGTGGTTCCCTGCTGTCTGGACCACATAAAATAGCAGCAGAACCCTTGGTGATTTTCTGGTGTCCCATTGGACAGAAATTTCCCCTGTGCTTTGCTGGATGAAAAACTGATGCCAAAGATTTAGTTGTACGTTTAGGGTATCAGTAAACAAAATTGAAGTTGAATGACTTACAGAAGGAAAATAGACCCCAAAAGTGACAGAGTTTTTTTTTATTCCAGTACTTCACATATGACCCCAAAGGATACAGACTACACTTAAGATTGAAATATGGAAGTGAATTTATTACTCATTTAACAAGTTTAAGGTGCCTACTCTGCAGTGGGCACGTGGTTACTCAGTATCCCAAAGCAGTCCTGGAGTTAATTCTGCAGTAGGAACACACAAAAAGGTGCTTCTTGTATAAGTATGTAGTAACTTCATTGTGGAAGGAAGAGATTCAGGGCATTATAGGAGTTAATAGAAGGACATATACTGTGGAGATGGTAAACTAGCTGGAAAAAATGACAGTGGGCCTGAGGGCCAGAGCCTCAGGAATTAGGGCAGTTGCCAGGTGGGAAAACAGCCTGGTGTGCACATGCATTGTGTGTGTGTGAGATTATTTTAAAAGGTGTTCCTAGGTTGCTAAACTGCCTTGAATAGGCTAGAACTCCATGCAGCCTCCTAGAGTGCTGTTGCAGGCCCAGTGGAAGGGCCTTTATAGGCATATAAGAGGACAGTTTGTATACATCGTGCCAGCCTCCCTGCCCCCCTAGTTTTGAAAGGCTTATGGGCTGCCCAGATTTTTCTGAAGGCACTTCTGAGGAAGGATGGGAGCCAGCAGGAGCCTTCTGCAGAAGTCTTAAATAGCATTCCTCACCCCTTCTCTACTCCAGGCCTCTGTTGCTCCATTGCTCCACTGCTCCATCACCCCAACCCCATGTTTCTACCTCATTTCACCCACCACCTTGCCCCACCCCCATATTTAACACCTGGCTCCGCCCCCAGTTGCCTTGACCTGTTATAAGATGAGGCCCCCTAGCAGAGGTGACTTCAACAGTGGTGATGCCAGTGGCCCTGTAGGGCAGGGCTTCTCCAAGCGTCCTCGAGCTCTCCAGCTATAGCATCAAACCCGGGTGAGTCCAGAGCTATGGGGTCGGGACCTACCTAACCCTGGGAACTTGGGCATGTGGGAGAATTTAGGTGGGTTTGGAAGTTACACGGGATTGTCAACAGCACCCCATGCCGCTTGGGGGCAGGACCCAAGGGAGAGGTGGTCAGCTATTTGACTTCCCACCCACTTCCCTTCCCACTTCCCTTGTTCTCCCACCTGGGGCATCCTGCTCAGCTTTGTTGAGTACCTACTATGCTCAACACAGTAGCTAGGAACACATGTTTGAGAAACGACAGTTAAAATCCTAGTCATTGCCCTCTTGGAATATTCAGTTGGATACAAACACTAAAATAAAATAAATGTAAATACGATAATGTGAGGCTGTGGAAAGGTCCTCAGTCTTACAAGTGTCTATAATCCAGCCTGTGAGAAGCCCAGGAGTATTTCCTGGGTCATAACGGCTGAACTTTCTGGTGGTAAAGAGGTTACTGTCAGGCAGTGGGATTAAGGCTTGGGGAGAGGCTTCTTCTGGAGAGATGTTGACAGGTATGGCCTGGGCATCATAGAGGTTGAGAACTCAACAGGGCCAACCAGGACGCTTCAGGACTTTGTTCATGAGGCCGAGGAGATACTTTTGAAAAGGTCTGAGGAGAAGCAAAAGATGTAATCAGATCCGAATTTCAGATGTGCCGTTTTGTTGGAGGTGGTGTTGGGGCGGGGGGCGGGGCAGGACAGACCCATGGAGGGCTGTGTGAGAAGGCCTTTGCCAGAGAGAACATCCAGGGTGGAATGTGAGGAGCTGTGTGGACCTGCTCCCCAGCAAAGCAAGCAAAACTGGTGAAAATCATAGCAAGCAACTACGTAAGGCCTCTGGCAGTTGGCCTAAGGGCATTCATTGAAGGAAGAAACATTCTAGAAAACTCCTAAGCAAAAAGCAGGAAGTCTCTGTCTCCACTCCACCTCAGCTTCACAGAGGTGTGGTCAAGAGCATAGGGCGTCCTCTTCCTGGTTCCCAACTTAGAGCAACTCTGTCATCTGGGAACAGACTCAGCCTTTCACATCCTTCCATCAGAGTCAAAGAGGTGAGTCTGGGGCTCTCTTCCACCCAGTCCCTATTAGTAGGGGGGTAGGGTTCTACCCCAAGAATACTGGAGTCCAGTTGCTCACCCCAGCTCAGTTGTAGGGCACAAGCTTCACAATAACAATGGCAAGCAAAAAGGCCAGAGTCTGGGCCCTGTTTCCTCAAAGCCTTCCCAGGAAGACCGGAGGTCCTTGGGATAAGCTGGTGCTCTCTTGCAGAGCTGGCTGGATTCAGAACAGTCGAGAATATCAGTCTAAAGACACTAAGAGTCATGAACTAGTCTGCTAGGGCTGCTGTAGCAGAGCAGCACAGATGGGGATGCTGCATCAGTGGAGTTTATTTTTCACAACTCTGTAGGCTGGAAGCCTGAGGTAGAGGCAATGGCCAGGTTAGCTTCCAAGTCACCTGTCCTTGGCTTTTTTTTCTAGACGCTTGAGGTGCAATATCAGGTTGTTTAATTGGGCTCGTTCTGTTTTCCTGATATGCATATTCACTGCTATGAATTTCCCTCATAAGACTCCTTTCATTGTGCCCCATAGATTCCGATATGTTGTATTGTCATTTAATTGAAGGAACTGTCTGATTTCTTTAATTTCCTCTGTGGCCCATTGGTTATTCAGAAGTGTGTTGTTCAATTTCCACATGTTTATGAAATTTTTTGAGTTTCTTTTGCTGTGGATATCCAATTTCATCACACTACGGTCTGATAATATACAGGGGATAACTTCAATTCCTTTGCACTTAAACATGTTCTATGTGTGAGTATGTGGTCTATTTTGGAGAATGACCCATGTGCAGCTGAGAAGAATGTGTATTCTGATTTTGTGGGGTGGAAGACCCTGTCAATATCTGTTAAGTTCATTTGTTCAAGAGTTCGATTGAGTTCTAGTATTTCATTACTTATTTTTAGTCTGGTTGATCTATCTATTTGTGACAGTGGGGTGTTGAGGTCCCCCACTACAATTGTATTAGTGCATATATGACTTTTCATGTCCATTAGTCTTTGTTTTATATAGTTGGGTGCAGTAGTGTTTGGTGCATAGATATTTATGATTGTCATCTCTTCCTCTTAGATTCTTCCCTTTACAAGGATGTAATGTCCTTAATCTCTCTTAATCAGTGTTGGTTTGAAATGTACTTGATCTGCAAAGAGGATAGCTACTCCTGCTTTTTTTCGGGTTCCTGTCGCATAGAGTATTGTTTTCCACCCTTTAACTTTCAGTCTATGAGTTTCCTTTTGAATTAAGTGTGTTTCTTGTATGCAGCATATTGTTGGATTTTGCTTCTTGACCCATTCTGCCAGTCTATTTCTTTTGATTGGTGAATTGAGACCATTAACATTGATGGTTATAACTGAAACGTATTGACTTGTCATTGCCATGACTTTTTCTTTTTGTTGGGTTGTCCTTGGCTTATAGATAGCCACCTTTGCACTGTATGCTTACAGGCTCTTCTGACATGTACATGCTCCTCTTCATCGTCTATGTCTAAATATCTTCTTCTTAAAAGGAAACGAGGCAAATTCAGTAGGATCCACTGTCATGGTCTTCTCTGAAATTTATCATCTTATTAAGGGCCTGTCTTCAGATATACTCAACTCCTGAGATACTGGAGTCAGGACTTGAGCATTGTAATTATAGGACAGCACAGGCTGGACCACAAGCCATGCAGGAGAAGAGCTCTTTCAGGGTTACAACACAGCTCAGAGACTGACCTCAAGAACTGCCCCTGCCCAGTTTAAATTAGACCATACATTGGAGAAATTTAGGCCGCACATCACTGTCAAAACAATAGAGCAGTCAATAATGAGGAGAGTGTAATAGGTGAATATGATAGCATATGAACAGAAAGCTAACAGAAGGATCAGAAAACAAAGCAGGCAAAAGCCTGACTAAAGCCACCACAGCCCAAGTCAGCTGTGTGCACATTCAAATCT